TCTCTTAGCACAAGTAAAATCAATGCAATATAATGATATGTATAGCTTCGTTATGATGAGAACTACATTTTTATTCACAGATCATGGCCTAAGGTTGCCTGTACAAGGAGATAGAGTTTGAAAATTTACCTCCTTCAGCTGGAATCGTGTATGGAAATGTAGTGACCTTAATGGAGGCCTGATGCTTGCTTGAGCTTCCTTGAGCTTCCCTGAATCTATTCCAACCTTTGCCTTGCTCTGAAAGTGGCTAGAAATCCCTGACCAAGTCCAACTGCAAGCTTCAAAGTCAACAATGGCAGATGGTGGAAAATAGGATACATAACAGGGATGATGGTTTGGATGGGTTTGATATCAAGTATGTAAGGTATTGGAATGATCTAAACACAAAACGCACGAGCCAAATGGAAGCTGGAAGTGTTTGTGCAGAAACTGTATGTTTTGGACAGTTTTTGGTGTTTTGCTTGCTGAGGGTGTTTCAGGTCTTGTCTTGGTGTTTTATATGTTGCATCTAGTTTGTATATTAGTATTGAAATGATCTTAGGTCAGCTTCCCAACAGATTTGCCAATGCTAGCCTTTTGGCCTACTTTCTTGTACTTGAAGCAAAGTGACAAGACCAAAGCTTCACATGCTTGTACCAGCTTGCTTAGGGTTGGTATGGATTTTGTACAACTTGCTTGAGACCTGTGTGGTTTGTATGCATCAAGGGGACAGGTTCAAAGCTCAAAATTGTAAAGTTTTCAAAAGTGGTTCTTTATGAAAATGGCAATGGAACCTTTTTGCCATAAGTGGAATTACAAGTTGGATAAAGGTTCAAAAGCATGGATAGAGGCTTTGTCAACTGAGTAAGCATTTAATTAAGGAGTGTGTAGCAAGTTTAGGACATGTACAACATGAAATAGCCAGCATAGGATTGATTTGCAACTTGGTTCTTCATGAAATGGCTTGAACAAAAGGTGAGAAAATGCCAACTTCCTCTCTTCGATTCTCCCTACTCAAAAATGATCTTGGAGAGTTATTGGACATTTTGGAAAGCTTGTAATGTGATATATAATCCATATTTGAAATGAATTTTGAGATACTCCTTGGAACTAGGTGAAAAATTTCCATGAAGTTGGGTCCAAATCCTGCCTAAATTAGGGCAAAATTTCACTAAGTTAAGAAGTTCATGACCATGTATTCACAAATTTATAACTTGAGATCCAAGCATCTTTAGGGAAAAGTTTGTGAATAAAAGTTGTATTTTTCATGAAGGTCTACAACTTTCATGTTGTGTACTTTCCTTGAATAAATATGCATCATGGTGAAAAAGTGGTGTAAAGTTGAGAAAAAATAAGCAAATTTGTATACTTAGAAAATTTCTAAGTTATGAAAATTTTCAAATTCAAACCCTAATTTTCAAATTTGGTTTTATTGGTGAACAAGTTTCACATTTTGACATGTCTTGATTAATTATGACTCTTGGTACTTGATTTTGACCAAAAAGTCAAAGTTTGACTTTTCAGTATACAGTTGACTTTTGATCAGTTGACTGCAAAATTCATCTGTCAACCCAATGAATTTGAAATGCTTTGAGCCATGTAATTAAGTAAAGATGATTCCATTGAATCCTTGAAATCATGCTTGAACTCAATTGGTCATTGGTTAGGTTAAAAATAAAAATTTGCCCTTCCTCAGTCAAAACCCTAATTTTGACCATTTTGCCCTTTTGATGATTTGATCAAATTTCTTAAAGAGTTGTAATCCAAACTTGATCAAATGGTACATATGAGTCTAAAATGTTGATGTGGATAAAAAATTATGAAGTTTGACTATAAATTGGTCATGGTTGACTTTTTCCCCAATACAGCTGATTTTTAGGTCAACTGTCCAATTGACTGATCAAAAATATGGTTCAAGGCTTGAAACTTATCATGAGCAATCTTAGGGGTCCAAAATGATGTATGAAAGTCACATGAAGCAATGATGGTCAAAAAATCCTTGTGCAAACTCAAACCCTAATTTTGGGTTACTAGTGCAAGATGAGATGTCTTTAGCTGACCAAACCCAAATCTTGTCTTGAGTCAAAAAAGTCTTGTGAGAAAAGTCTTGATAAATGAGAGGGCAAATTTTGGGGTACAACACATGGCAACATGTTTGAATGTGGATTCTTCGACATCCCCTGCGAACTTGGTGAACTTTGGGAGTTTCCAACCTCTTGGTAATTCTGTTTGTAAAAAATCTGGCAATGGCGAGACACAAGTAGTTCTATGACAGCCAGTATTCATTCCATTCCTAATCATAATTCTTTCAACAATGGCTTCTAGGTTTTGTTCCCCAGCCACTGCTTCTCGTCGAACCTGCCTGACCATTTGGTCGACATTATGGTTTTGGTTTGCTATTACTACTGGGGGTTGTTGTACTATCCTAAGTATAAGGTCGACACGCTGGGGAGTCGGTGGTTCTTGTTCGACTACTTCATCGACCACCTCCTCATACTTCACTGGTTCCTCATGTGGGGGAGGTGCAACTTGTCAAACTGGCACTCTTGGGGCACCAAGGAAATCCCCTATGCGAGTCATTTGAGTTGCTAAAGTCTGATAACTCAGCACTGAATTCTTGATCGAAGGTCTTAATATGAGACTCATTTGTTGAGTAAGCATATTGACCATCTCATGGTTACTTTCATCCATCTATTGCCTCATGATAGCAACAATACTTGGAGTGAAAATATGCATGATTTGTTGGGAGAATCTCAATCTAGTCGAACGACCAAACTGATTTCCCAATAGCCCCGACAAAGGATATGGTGAAAACACCGACGCAGAATTCTCACCAAATGTCATACCACTGTTATGCAATCCTTCCATCATCGCTGTTGGCATTCCATATTCATGTGTATTTCTTGCAAAGCCAGGCACATACTGCCCATAAGTTGGGATTACACTATCATGTGTCTCCCTTGCAAAACTAGACACATACTGCCCAAAAGTTGTGACCATTGGTGGTCTTGCAGTTATTGGTTGTGTTATGGTAACTATGTTTGGTGTCGTCGAAGACACGATCACCGGACTAGAACCCACACTCGCCATCACGCTGGTATTTCCTCCTAAATTTTGATCCCTTTCAGGAGTTCTAGGATCTACCCTTTTTCTACCACTTCTTAATTTCATGCACGAAACAAGAAGACTCAAACACAAACGTTTCCCACTGGGCATGCCAATTTGTTTCTCTGTGAAGTAATCGCTAGCCTCTTATTAAAGGTTATTTGCAGGATCGACTACAATAATCCTAGACTTAGTGTTTGAGTGTTTGGGTTGAAACTGGTTGATATTGAATAAAAGGCAAAAAGTGAAAGACAATTGCAAATTAAATAAATTAAAGACAAGACTTGTAATTTAAAGTGAAAACTGGAAATTGCTGTGAATTTAAATGTGGAAGCATTCATACATTGTTAAGCATGAAACTCGTTTCTCTCTTAGATGCAAGTACTTTGAGTATAATGTTCTAAATATGAAAAATGTGACCCGTGACACAAATACAAACATTTACTTAAATAGAAATCCTAAGTATGTAACCATCGACGGTTACTAGCCCACGTTGGAACTTTGTGGAGAAACTGCCCTAAACTGCTTTGAACATCCCCACGTTCTTACTGGCTTGCGCGTCGATAACTGTTTCCGCCACCATAAATCCTTGCTCGTCGACCCCTACGCCTGTCGATATGACTGCCTCTGAATCTCATGTCTTTCGTCGACTAACTCTTCTGGTCGATACCCTTTAACCTGGTCGACACCTCCTGTTGTTTTCCAAAGACTCATCCCTCTTCAGTCAAAGAACCCTTACAACTTAAGGCTTATTTCTCTAGTCGGAAATTGCTTGTCAACACAAACACACAAATATTCATATCAAAATTCATGTGAACTCACGGGTTATTACATTTTTTGTACAATTTAAAAACATATGTGTGTAATTGGTTAGTACCCGTACGAATGCATGGGTGGCCAGATGATAATTTTTGCGAACCCACGAGTTATTACATTTTTTATACAATTAAAGAAAATAAAATTAAAAATATTTTAAATAATGTATGAATCCAAACACGATAAAAATTTATTGTTTTTAAACTATTTATGCTACTAATATTTTTTTTAAAAAATTTAAAATATAATATTTTTTAAGATAATATATCAAAGATTGAAATATATATTATTGATGTAAAATAATTTTGGTAAAATAATTTTATTTTTCTTTTAAAAATATACATTTCTTTTAAAAATAATTAACCATTTTGGTAAATAATTTTGTTTTCCTTATTTACATTTTTATTATATTTTAAAAATAAAAGTCAGCGTATCATAGTAGTACCCGTGTGAATGCACGAGCAACACATCAATACCGTCTAAACACACATGTAATCATGTAAATTTATGAGTTATTTTAATTTTTTTTACAATTAAAAAAAATAAAAGTAAATATATTAAAATAATACATGAATTCAAGCACGAAAAAATATATTGTCTTAAAATATTTATATTATTAATATTTTTGTTTTGACATTTTTTTAATTAAACATATAATATTTTTTTAAGATAATTTATGAAAATTTAAAATATATATTATTAATATAAAATAATTTTGACGAAATAATTTTATTTTTATTTTAAAAATATATTCTTTTTATAAAAATAATATAAAAATTGATAAAATAATTTTTTTTTTAATATTTTTATTATATTTTAAAAATAAATACGTAAATACTACATCGATATATTTCCTTTTAATTATTATCTTTTATTTCCTTTATGTTATCATATTTATTTTTTTAATATTATTTTATTTAATTATCCTATTTATTCTACTAATACTACTTTCACATATATATTATCCTATTTATTTTACTAATACTCAACGCCATTTGCGGCCACCGTCACCGGAGATTGCGTCGCATCAGAGCTTACTCCCAACCGCCATTCCTGAATTCTTCTCCACACCAATCCACCTTTCTCTTCAATTATCATCGATGGAGCATTCAACAGAATCTTGTTCAAAGAAATCAAAGGGTTTGAACATTGGAGAATACCAAATTGAGGGTTTATCCATTGGAGGCCATGAAACTTGCATCATTGTTCCCAACTTTAACGTAGCTTTCGATATTGGTCGTTGCCCACCTCGTGCTGTTTCTCAAGATTTTCTCTTAATCTCCCATGCTCACATGGATCACATTGTTAGTTACTTTCTTACTCTCTTTCTTTCATTGCCCATATTCATTCGCATATGTATTTATGTTATAATATAAACACGGGTGCTACATAGTTCTAAGGTTAACTACCTTGATGCCGCTATGTACAAGTATACTTATATTGTGTCCCTAATGATTAAGTTCTAAGGTTTGAAAGAGATTATATAATTAAGTTGTTTATTTGATGTGATTGGTATTGCTGAATTAGTTTTTGTTGCTAAACTCTAATGTTTGGTAACTTTTTTACAGGGAGGGTTACCAATGTATGTTGCCACGCGTGGTTTATACCGAATGAAGCCGCCAACGATTATTGTACCGAATTCGGTGAAAGAGGATGTAGAGAAACTCTTTGAGATTCACAGGAAAATGGACCAATCTGAGCTTAAGCATATTCTCATAGGCTTGGATGTAGGTAATTGTTTTGTTGCTATCTTTCATAATGGAGCCTGCAATTAATAAACACTGAAATTTCGAAGTTTTTTCGGTTATGTACTGTTGTTTCTAATTCCTGGTTGGCTGCAGGAGAAGAATTTTCTCTGAGAAACAATCTTAAAGTTAAGGCTTTTCGGACTTATCATGTAATACCCAGCCAGGTAACTATTCAATTTTTCTACAGATTAGGCTCGTGTTTGATTTGAATTGATTGTGGTGCTTTTTGAAAATGAATGCAATAAATTGGAGTTTCTTAAATTGTTGTCAAACAGCTATGGCATAACGGAATTTGAACAACCGCTATTGTTCCATGATACGCTATTTAGGATAAGTTGTTGCCAAATAGAAGCATTATAGCATGACATAATTTGAACAGACGGCCATTTTTAGTGATCCGCGGTTGACCACACTGTTTTTTTTAAGGCCATATGAACTTTCAAGAAACACCCTAGTCGGGTTATCGAATATCGGCCATGGCGGATATAAGTGGCGGTTTTTAGGCTCGCTGCAATGGTAAATATCAACCAATATTTCAATTTTTCCGCCATAATCCACTATGATGGTGCCACCAAGCGTCCAGTATGGCGGGATTTTGACTCCCTGCCATCTGCCATAGACACTGCACCCTAAGGAATGACTTTTAAGCTCTTATGGATGTAAAAGATATAAAGTACCGGACCTTTATTTTCTGTTAAACTCATACTCTTATCCTAAAATTTATACCCGTATGTATGTTTATGCTAAACCTTTAGTTTTGGAATTTTGGATGTCAAAAGCAGATTTAATATGTTATTCAACAAACACACACCCTTTTAATATGCCATATGCTGCGCCTTTTATCGCTTTTTCTTGGAACAAATTTCAATTAAATCAAACAGCATCCTTATCATGACAGCTGAAACATCACAGATGGGACCTAACTGTTATTCATTTTTTTGGCAGGGTTATATACTTTACTCTGTAAGAAATAAACTTAAACCCGAGTTTATTGGTCTTTCTGGAAATGAAATTAAGAATTTGAAGTCATCTGGTATGGAGGTCAGTCTTAAGTACTAGTAGTCCATCTTCTATGTCTTTTAGTTTCGCAGCGCATGCTCATCCAAACTGGGTTTTTGGCAGATAACAAACACTTTGGCAGAACCCGAGATTGCTTTCACAGGAGACACCACATCTGATTTCATAATTGACGAAAATAACACTGATGTCTTGCGGGCTAAGCTTCTTGTGTTGGAGGTAATCTACTCTGTCCAATACTCCTTTCAGGCTATGAATTAATAATATTTGAGTTGATCTATGTTGATGGTTGATGTTATGGTTTCACAGTTTACCATCAATCTTATTCTTCACCATTATTCGTATAGTGCACTTTTCTTAACAATTCAATGACTGTGGAACATGCCAGGGATTATGGACACACTCATTTGTCTGAGGTATGCTACCTTCTGCAATTAATACTAGCATACAATTTCATGCAACTCAATCTCAGTGCTTTTATTTACCATTGTGTTTATACTTATTAGTTTATTCCTTCTCGTCGTCTCCTTCAGATAATAAACTATGCCGATAGGTTACGGAACAAAGCAGTCCTTTTGATTCACTTTTCAGCTCGTTATACAGTAGAGGTATGACATTACTGTTTGATTTTCCGTCCAATGGCTCCAATCTCGTGACTCTGAATCCGAAATCTTTCCATATTTCAAACAATTAGAAAGCTAATCTCATGTTGTTGCTTCTTGCTCGGTATTAGTTTTCTCTAGTTATGATTTTTGGTTGGGATGTTGATGATGATCCGTTGTGTATTTGTGACATTCAGGAAATTCAACAAGCGGTAAGTGCATTGCCACCATCGTTAGCTGGTCGGACTTCTGCGCTCACCGAAGGTTTTTAACAAGTTGGAAGTTTGATTGAGAACGCAAATGAATGGAGTTGGTTTTTCCACTCCATCATCATTGTTGGCAAATATGGATACAGTGGAATGGAAGGATGAATATACAAATGTACTCTTCAAATATCTAGTTTTTTTTATTTGTCAGGCTATTTGCTGTAATTTTTATCTAGTAACTAATAACTTTTGATTCATTTAATGAGGTTAAAGAAAATGAAAAATATTATGTTTGAATGATTCACTGGTGCATATTAGCTTATGTTGTTCTTGCATGGAATGCTTTTTTCTGCTATCCATAAGTGAACAATGTTGTGACCATATCATTCATCAAAACAAATACATTAAACAACCAACAACACTTGGAGAGAAAATTTCATCATAGTGAATCCTCTTCTATTTGACCTTTTTCCCTTCTCTTTTTGTTATTGTTGATTTTCTCTTGAACATTCAATTACAATCGAGATGACCGTTTTCCTCTTAGGAAATTGAGCATGCTCTCGTGTTTGATTTTTCTTCAATGGCTTCATCTCCTCCACCATTGCACTCATTCCCACTCATCTTTCTTCTGCCTATTTATAGCCTCTCAAAAAGTGGAAGGGTCTCTAGAACTGGAAGGGTCTCTAGAACTAGTTAGTGCATAGACTTCAAAGTATTCATATCCATGTTTTTCTTGTGGCTTGGTTGAACAACATTCTCAATCACATGCCACAATATATTATGTACTCCACTTGAAATTTTAGGTCTGTGATCAATTTTAATATTAGAATTTGGTACCTCTTGTGGTTTAGACCCTACCTGCATATTATTCTGGTACCTCTTGTGGTTTAGACCTTATCTGCATATTATTCACTAGTAGCAGATCAACGTCTATCTGAATAACCTGTTTGGTGGAAGTTTCTCCTTTAAATGTTGACACATCTTTTGTAACTAATAACTTCAATATTAATTGTTCATCAAAAATAACATATTTGTTGATTATCATCTTTTTAACTAGATCTAATAGTTTGAATCTCTTCACACCTTTTATTAACTGACAAAGACACACTTCTTCGACTTTAAATCAAATTTGAAATGGTCTTCATTGGATATATATGCCCATAAGATGGACACTCTAAAAATCTTTAAATTGTCAAGATCAACAAAAATTAAATGTTCATACTTCCTCTGTAATTATCCCTTCCAATAAAGTATATGGTGATTGTTGTACCCTAAAATTTGCCCTCTCATTTTATTCAAAACATTCTCCTAGGATTCTCAAATGCTCAAGTTGGCTCAAGAATTGATCAGACGAATTCTCCTCCTAAGCAATAGGTCCACAACTAGGGTTTTGTATTTCTCAAAGAAAATTGAGTTTTCAAGGTTTCAAGTGGTCTTCATGGTTCTTCATATATTCTCAAGGGTGCTCATGTCAAGTTTCAAGTCTTGAATCACAAGTTTTCTCAGTCAATGGTTCAGATGACTGAAAATCAACTGTATTGACCAAAAGTCGAACTTTTCAAGATCAAGTTCAAACGATTGTAACATTCATTATTCGATATTTTTGAGTGATTCTTTTTTGCATATGACTCTCCTTGACGTCATCTCTAATTTCTCTTTACAGGTCAAGAGTCGATTATGTGCGAAAGATCATCAAAGATTCAAATACTTTAGAGGTCGCTTTCTAGACTTTGACCTAATCTCAAGTAACTGTTGCCTGACTTCCAAGAATCGTAATTTCTTCAATTTTTAAGATCTAGAGACGATAATTTTTGCACATTGTCATAAAGAATGTCATCTGCAAGTTTACTTTAAAAATCGAAGTCAAATTGTGTTTAGAAGGCCTTGAAATTTAGTGAAACGTTATAGATCATTTTTCTTGATTTCTAATTTCAATTCATGGTGATAACTTCTCAACGCAACAACTTTTATCTTGAACTCCACTTGTATTGATCATTCAAGGACTTTTAGGTTTGGTTCGATTTATGATGCAAGATGGGTTGGTTTAAGATTTGTGAATAATTGGTACGAAGCATCCCTTTTGGGCATTCAAAGGGGGTTTGCAAATAAAATCTCATAATTGAAATTCATGAAAAAATGTCTAAAAATGACCAATTTCCTTATGATGCAAGTTTGGAATTCAAGTAAGCAAGTATAAGATGCAAAATTCATTCAAATTCCAAGTTTTGTTGCAATGAAAGAAATCAAATTGCAAATTCAAGAGATTTCAAAGTTTCGAGTCATTTGGCAATCTCAACTTTGTGAGAATTCAATTGACTTCCAAGTTTTGTTTCCATCATCAAAGTTCAAAGAATTACATGGTTCATAATAATTCAAACAACATGAAGGTGCCAAAGTCCAATACAAGTCTCATTCGGATACTTTCAATACAAGAGCTTTCATTCAAAATATTTCTTTGATTTAGAATTGGAAATTAAAGTCATTGATTCACACAAGGAAAACCTCAAATCCACTTTGTGGTCAAAGGTACAAATAAAATCAAAGAATTAAATACCAAGAGTTTTACATGGAATTTTACAAATCACTTTACAAATAAAGTCACTACAATTCAAATCTACCCCAAGATGTTATCCTAACGACATAAACCTATACAATGTCTAAGATAAAATCCATCTTCACATCTTGTGCCAAGGTTTTGTTTCAACCTTCAAACTTTATGTCATTTCTTCAACACAAATTTTCCCGCATCATAAAAAAAACATGTCCAAATTAGTCCATAAACCATGCGTAAAACTTGTCCAAAAACATACCAAAACCTACTGCATAAACCTGCTGCTATACAGTCCAAAAAAAAACCTACATAGTAATGCCAAGAAAATTGTCACAACCTGCTCCACAAACTACTGCCCAGTCCAAAGCTTGCACAAAATTAAAAAAAAAACGAAAACTGTATCAAAAAACCAATAAAACAGGACACCACATTTTTTCAAAACTTATCAAATCTTCGCCCCAAAACCCACTGTTATTCAATATATAAAAGCAAACCTGTATAATTAAAAGAAACAGAGACAAGAGAAATCTGAATATACACAAAAAAATCTCATAGAAACAAAAACTCTCAAACTTCCTTCTTCAACTCACCATCACTTTTATTCATGATTTAACAGTAAAAATGTGCCTTCTCTTCAACCTTTTTCCACCAAAAAATTCTCAGTAAAACTCTGCAGAATCATCCACTCCACATTGTCCCTGCATCGACCTTACTTACGGACCCTTAACTTTACTATCATTTCAAATCGACCCTGCTAAAAATAACCAAAACATTCACTCTATACTCCCTCAAAATCGCAGCAAACCACCAAACCTTACCCTCTGTTTCCATCAATCTCTGCAAACTCTCAAAGCTCTGATTCAATCCATATCCATCTACAGTAAACCAACAAAAACGAAAAAAGAAGAAAGGCATTGAGCTTACCTTGAGGACATCATCTCCGAGAACATTCGAGGTCAGTATTCTCCTTTCTCTCTACACCTTTTCGTCTTTATTGATCTTATAGGTTGTGATTTTGAATCCATGATGTTGTTTTTTTCTGCATAGCTTTGTATTTTTGTATTTTTGTTTTGGTTTGCGAAATCGGTTGAGTGAAAACGATGAACAGAGGGAGTATTGGATTCGGTGGAACGAAGGGAGTATGGATTCAGTGAGATGAAAACAATTCACAGTCAGAGAGATAGTTGGCTGGGAGAAAGAATTAATAAAATTACTGAAAACATGAAAAGAGAAAGAAAGGGTTTGATGTTAATTTTCGGCGGAGGGAGAGAAAAATAGAGGGAGTACGATTTTTTTTTGTTTGAGAGAAAAGATGAAGATAATACATTTTGGTTTAATTGTTTCATTGGAATAACAAAAAAAAAATTCCTCTTCCATATGCCAGCCACATCCATTCCCAAACAATTAGGGTTTGTTGTTTCAAATTTCTTTGCATATTTCTCTCTTGGACCTCAACCCGGCCCGATTTCTTATAAGCCCAATTTAATTATTTCTTAGCTTTTTATATTATTAGGAGTATCACAATAAACGAATGAACAACTTGGTGTAACGATTAATACAATGTTTGACAAGTGCAAAGACCTGGGTTCGAGACCCCCCGGGACTTTTTTTTCTTCTTTTTCTGTTTTGCTTCATTCCTTTCATTTTTTTGAATTTTTCGTTGGACAAAAAAACAAAAAAAAACTAACCATTGGGCCCCAAGCCCATGCGCCTCCAACTGCCTCTACACCCCTATACTGGTTCTCACACTCTGGCCCATTAGTTAATGTTTACTTCTTCCCTTTATTTTTTAAGTCATAAAATACCAAAAGTAATTTTAGAATTTAAGTAATAATTTCCTTTGGCCCCTTTAATATTTTCTTAATATTTAAAAAATAACAAAAAATATGTAGTTTCATTTTAATTTTTCTTTATATAAAAAATAAAAATAAAAACATATTAGACTTTAGTTTTTTTTTAGATTTTATTTAAATTGATAAAATACCAAAAATATTATTTTTAATAGTATTATTTATTTTGCTAATTAATTTTATTTTATAGATTGTTTTAGTTTAATTAATTGTTTATTTTTTTTATTTTCGATTGGGTTGTATTGATTGCTTACTTAGACTTTTAATCGTATTGTGGATTCAGTTCATCCCCATTTGTAAATTTGTCCCTCCATTCCCGAAGCTTTGTAATAGCGTAGAACTTTAATTTCCCCAATTTACTGTTTTCTTTTATACTGTATAATAATTAGGCGTGTATGATAAGATCTAAAATCAAATGATAGATAACCACAAACCTCAAGATAAAATAACTGAATCAAAACACTACTCACACACACACCTCTAGGGTTAACCTCGCTTGTTGCCTTCGAAAAAAATACAGCCATGTCCCTCGAATGTGGGACGCTTTAGCAAAGACCCTCGATTAAAAAAGATTGTAGTCCCTCGATGACCCTTAGATGTTGCCTTCAGTAAAACGATCTTAGTCCCTTACGAAAATTGCTAAAGCGTCTCACAATTTTCCTTCT